CACACACACACACACACACACACACACACACACACACACACACACACGAGACACACAGTCAAACGGTCAGATGGAAGGCCCTGCTTCAGTATTTCTCTTCCCTCTGAAGGTGGAGATTAGGTAGGGAAAAGGCACAGCAGGAGATGGAAACTGAACCTGCAAAGCAGGAGAAAGAAGTCCCACTCTGCATCAACTTTCCTCTTCTTCCCTCAAAGGACTGGTGCAGCAAAAGATAAAAGGCCTGAAGTCAAAGAACAGGTTGCTCCTCTTTGCATCACAGGTTTTCCACATTTCAGCTGGGAGAGTAAGCAGGCAGCAGGAGGTAGGAGTTGCCTTGTGCCAGCAGAGATAGAATCACTGGTTTGGGGCAAGGGGAAGTCTTTTGGGACAGATGGAAGACATCTTGCCCAGCCCCTTGCCACCTTCCTTAAGGGCGGAGGAGATGGAAAACACAAGACATAAAGTCAGAGAAATATTTGGCTCCTCTGCTCACCTGAAGAGGTACCTGCTTTTCCCTCTTGAAACGACTCTATTCTATTCCAAAATGTGTGTGTGTGTGTGTGTGTGTGTGTTCTACTGTCCTTTGACCAGTAGAGATGAAAGGTTCAAGTGACCCACACTCTCCCTCCACTCCTCTTCATGCACTCCAATTACGTAAAGTTATACCACATTTCCTCCCCTTCCCTCCTTTTGTAATCCATTCCCTCCTGTCTTTTCTTTCTTTGTTTAAGATCAAAACATAACAAAACCAATTCCAAACCCTCAGTCTTATTTGCTTCCCTCTGTGATCTATGATATTAAATTTCTGAAGTGATATTTGAAACATCCTTCCTGATAGAATGTAAAAAGCTCATCCTTATAAAAAGTCTTGTCTGATAGCTCATGTGTATATTTACCTTCTAATATTTCTACTTAGCTCTGGTCTTTTCATCATGAATATCTGTTAGTCTTCTATTTCACTGAAGGACTATTTTTTCCACGGTAGGATTATAAAAATTTTGCTAGTTATGTTATTCTTAGTTATAGACCTATCCTTGGTCTTTTGGGATACTATATTCCATATAGTCCTTTCCTTTATAAAAGTAGCTACCAAATCTTGTGGTCCTGATGAGTTCCTTGGCATTTGAATTCTTTCTTCCTAGATGCTGGAAATATTTTTTCTTTGATCTGTAAGTTCTGATTTTGGCTGTGACATACCTAGAAGTTTTCATTTGGGGGTTTCTTTCAGGAGATGATCGGTGGATTCTATCTTTTACTCTACCCATATTTCTTTCATTCTCTCTTGAAATAGGCTGTTTTTGGTCATGATTTTCAAGTAACAGAATGAATCTTAAAATTATCTCTTCTTGTCCTATTTTCCAGGTGAGTTTTTTATTTAAAATACCTTATATTTGTGGTATTTTCAATCTTCTGATTTTGTTTTAATTTACTTATCTTATATAGTCATTAATTTGTTTGATTTATCTTAATTTTCAATGAATCTGTCTGTTACTTGGGTAAACTTTTTTTTTTTTTTTTTTGGTGAGGCAATGGGGTGAAGTGACTTGCCCAGGGTCACACAGCTAATAAGTGTCAAATGTCTGAGGCCAGATTTGAACTCAGGTCTTTCTGAATCCAGGGCTGGTGCTCTATCCACCGTGCCATCTAGCTGCCCCCTGGATAAACTTTTATACCTCTTGCACTAAGCTGTAAATTCCCTTTCCAAATCTCTTCCATAGCTCTCATTACTTTTCCAGTTCTTTCTAAAATTTATAATAAAAGCTTAAACTTTCCCTTAAAAAACAAAAAACCTCTTGTATTTTTTCTGTTTGGAATTCTAATTGGTCATGTAGCCAAGATACTGTTTTACTTGGAGGCTTTACTTGTAGGCGATTTAGAAATATTTTCTTCTTTTCAGTTCATGTCTTGGGCATCCCAGAGACATCATCATGGTGCTGTTTTTGTTTTTTGTTCACTCATTCTTCCACCTTACCTGAAAATTCCAGATTGGAACTTTTTCTTAAGGCTTGGCTCTGGCCACAAGTGTCAGGACTTTGGTAAGCTTTCTTTGACACTGGTTGTTCTTACTTACTTGGTCAGGAAGGCAGTGCCCTCTTCTGCTCTAAGGGATTAGGTTTCGGGTCTCTTCTCCTGGTTGAAAAAGATACTACTACAGTTGTCTTCTGTTCAATGATTGTTTCTCTTGGTTAACGCCAGCTCCCTGTTCTATAGTTCCTATCCTGGCTTCTTACTTGCCTGTGGATTGAATCTGTGATCTTTTGTTGGAGAAATGACCTATGCAGTTTCTCCTTCAATTTCTGATCACTGCTAGGTCTGGCACTACTCTAATCTTCAAGTAGTTGTCAAGGGAGCTAGGATTCCATACTTCTTACTAGCGTATACCTTGCTTGGTTCTCTGTAATGCTAACTATCTGAACTCTGCATCTTTTTCTAGATGCTCATTGATAACTATCTCTGAGTTCTAAGGTTGCTGGTACTGTAAATACACATATAGAAATCCTGGTCAGGACTGTACAACA